ATCTCCCTGACCTTGCTCCTTTGTTCGACTCTGTCTGGTGACTTTTCCACCCTTCTTCCGAATGTACGTAGTGCCAGAATTTTCAAGGGCCTTGACATTTGCTTTTAAAGACATACTATAGGGCCGGGGATTTGGCTCAGTGGTTCTGGCGCCTGCCTCGCAAGCACAAGGACCTGAGTTCGATCCCCGGTACCAGAAAAACAACAACAACCCCTAAAGACATACTATCGGATGAGGGCAAGTGTTTACTCAGAGCTTTTGCTTTCTCTGGATCTACAAGGGAATTAGCAGGAATGAGCTGTGGCCCGGGTGTGGAGAATCTTTTGGATTTTGTTTCCATACCTGTTCTAGGTCACTAATCGCCTCCTCCTTCTGCCCATACTTGAGTTTGAAGTTTGCTGCTTCTCTAATCAAGGACAAATGAGGAGGAGATTTGGGCTGATGGCTTCGGTTCCACTGGACGGCCTGGGTGGAGACCTTGGTGGCACCACCAGTGTCTTCCCCACGGCTGTAGGCGGCCACTCGTGCGGACACCATGCCTGGTTTATGCTTTAGCTCTTCTGTGCTTTTCGGTGTTAGACATGCTTTGGAACTAGCACCTTGAGAAATTTTCAGCTGTGCCACGGTCAGCTTCATGTCAGCTGCATTTTCTGGGGGTCACCTGAACAGTCCCTGAAGCAGCTCTATCGCATTTGTGCTGTTTTTCCCGGCAGAGCCGGGCAGCTTGGATCAACACAGGCGGGAGATGCTCGGGACTCCAGGATTGTACACCGCAGATGTTCTGCGGCGCGGCTCTGCCTGCTTTGTGTACGCAGCAAGTGAAGCTTTGTCAGATCCTACAGCTTGCAGTTGTTCCTCGGAAAGTTTACACTGCACTCCTGTGTGGGTTAATTCACCTTCTTCTGGGAGCGGGACACTTTGGTCCTTAGTGATGGTAACGATGCTATTGGCACTTCCAGCTGCCCCTGACCGACCTGTGCAGAGGCGTCTCTGCAGCCCAGTTCGTGGGTGCCTTCTGGGAGGCCCACTTTCTCTGGGACCCCTTTTTTCCCCATCGCTTTGAGCGGCACCAATGGCTGGAAGGTTTGTTCTGTCCTCGTCCTGGTCACGTCGGCGTCTCGCAGGAGATCTCTGTTTGTCACGTGTCCGCCCAGCTCTCTGGGCTCGGTGCCTGCTGCTTGGCACCGTCTGTGGTCTTCACGGCATTTTCAGTCAGTTGAGCCTGTACTCACTAACCCTCTTCTCAGAGGAGAGTTACTGGCTCCCCCAGGAGGCAAATGCTTTTCTTTGTGGTTTTATATATATTTCCAATGTTGCTTTTATAATAGAAACACAAATGAAGGGATGTTTTACTGTCTCCCTTTCCTTACTACTATACACTACACTTTTTGATTTAACAGTGTATTTTGGATATCTTTCCTTACACACTCACAGAGTGCGGTTTTAAAAATTGTTATTTTTTTTGTTTGTTTCTTTGTAGTATTGGTGATTGAAACTCCACACTGAACTATACCTCCTATTTATTTATTTATTTTTTTGGCTTTTGAGACAGGGTCTCTCTAGGCAGCTCAGGCTGGGTTTGAACTCACCATGTAGCCCAGATTGGCCTTGAACTCTTGGCAATCCTCCTGCCTCAACCTCCTGAGTGCTAGGATTACAGGCGTGTGTACGTCCACATCCAGCCCTCTTAGTCTTTATTATTTAAAAAAAAATTTTTTTTGGTACTGGGGATTGAACTTGGGTCCTTGCGCTTAGCAAGGCAGGCCACCGAACCGCTGAGCTAAATCCCCAGCCTTCTCTTAGTCTTTATTACAGATATATAGTATTTTTTTCTTTTGGTACTGGGATCAAACTCAGGATCTTTCACTTGCCAGGCTGCAGAACCACTAAGCTAAATCCTTGGCCCAACAACTGTATAGAATTCTGATGGAGCCGGGCGTGGCAGTGCACGGCTGTAATCCCAGCACTCGGGATGCTGAGGCAGGAGGATAGCTGTGAGTTTGAGATCAGCCTGGGCTACATAGTGAGTTCCAGGTTAGTCTCAATACACAGTGAGACCCTGCCTCAAAAAAAGAAAAAAAAAGAATTCTGATGGGGCGGGGTGTCAGTGTTTTATTCTCTTCCCAACTGAGAGTCCTTGTATTTTCCTTCAAGGCTTTTACTATCACAAATAATCCCCTAGTGAATAACCCTGTATAAACATAATTTCATATATGACAAGGTGTATTGTATTCGTGGGCCCACAACTGTTTAGAACATTTTACTTTTTATATTTACGTGGATAAACTGGACATGGTGATACACAACCATAATCCCAGCACTGGGGAGGCTGAGGCAGGAGGATCACTGTGAGTTTGCTAGCCTGGGCTATATAGTGAGTCCAAGGCCAGCCTGAACTACACAGTGAGATGCTGTCTGAAAAACAAACAAGCAAACAAACCAAGGAAATAAGCAATATTCACCTTCAGGAATAGAAAGTGATAGTTAAAGAAAATAAACTGATGCTGGCGAATATTTTATTCATATAATGTTTTTGTTTTTTTTGTTTTTTGTTTTAGATAGAGTCTGGATATGTAGTCTAGGCTGGTCTCGAACTCACAGTGATCCTCCTGCCTCAGCCTCCTGAGTGCTGGGATTACAGATGTGTGGCACCACACTGGGCTGTCTATCTCTCTTTTTTTGAGTGTGGGAAGTAGTTGCAGCTTGGAGGTAGCCTTGGGTTTGGGGTGAGTTCCTGGGTTCACGTCCATCAACCCCTTGTTCCTTCTTGCTGGTCTCCCCATGAACTATTTTCACTACCCTAGCTTAGGAAAGGAAGAAAAAGCAACCAGCTCTTGCTTCCTCCAGGGTTAGGTGTGGACGCGAGTACACAGGACTGTCTTCTCACCACAGGCTTCCTGGGGCGGATATGCGTGGTGAGCAGCAGAGCTGTGAGGAAATAACATTTCTGAGCATTTATTTGCTGGTCATGAGAAGGAAGTGTCTGCTTTCTGTGGATCCCACAGCACTAATTCACATTAATGTTAAAGATAATCTGTGTTGGGGTAATAGGAACCTAGCTGTGTCATCACTGAAGATGGTAAAAAGGAAAACTTAGGTGAACTACCTTATCCTTCCTGCCTCAGGGCCCTGCTTATCATATATATATA